AGGACAGGAAATTGCACAGGACATACTCGCCATATGGCGAAGTCTTAGTTGTATCATCTCAGTGGAAGGAATGTGGGTCTTCTTGCCACGAGTCTTCCGATTTCCTGGTGGGTTTGAAATAGTTCATAATAAAAACTAGGGGAATACTCTGAATATAAAATTGAAAAAAGTTTTGGAAGAAAAAAGATATTTACATTTTTTAATTCAAGGACAACTGCCTTGTAATAGAACCAGTGTCCTAGATAACAACATCCTCATCCCCTGGGTATTGATGAGTAAGTGTTTGAAAATTCTTCTCCTCAAAATGTTTGTTGAGACATTCCATTCTGGTTACATAAAGTCTTCTAACATTTCAATAACAAAACAGTATTTCTGGTTACTATTGTTGCTCAGCAAATTCCCTAAAATTTAGCAGCTTCAAGCAGCCACTTCATTCACTTGCAGGTCAGATTCAGGAAGGCTCGGCTAGGCGGTGGCCTCCTGGGTGTCCACGCAGTCGCCAGGCGGTACCGGCCACATCTGCGGAGAGCCCAGGCTTGGGCACTGGAAGTCCAAGCCAGCTCCTCCCTGGCTGTGGGCAGTGCCGCTGTTGTGTGCGTTACAGGCACTGCAGGCGTCTCCTGCAAGGCAGCTCGAAGGACCTGACTCCTTTCCGGGTGGCTCTGCGGCTCAGGGCCCACATGGGAGCCGCTGTGGACCGGGCCAAGCTGCCTCAAGGCCATGACCCAAGGGTGAGCAGGCCTGACTCCTGTGCAGGCTTAATGCAGCCCAGGCGGCCCTGCCCACGGTGCGTGACCCTGATGCTCCCCAGGGAGGGCCGAGAGCCCTCCCAGCCTCCTGGTCCTGATGAGATTTTCCCTTTCCCAAGCAGAAACGTTGAGACAAGCCAACGGTATTTTCGGGGGGAGGGGGAGGCAGATTTTGCCACATGACCAGCCAGGGACAACTGCCCCTCACCTCCTCCTCTTTCCTGTCACTGCAGGACCTCGGCCTGTGAGCTGGGACGCCAGGGCCGAGCACCGGCTGCCTCACTGGGCTGCCTCCGTTCCCCTCTGCAGGAGGACACTCTTGGTGCCACACGGACATCTTTCCAATGAGGGAGGCTTGCCCCTGCCCCTTCCCTGACCAGGGGTATTAACAGAACCCAGCAGCGCCAGGCTGGGGACCGGCAGCCATGCGTCGACCAGGCCCAAACGTCATGGCCCTCCTGTCCTTGTCAGCGTTTCTGGGGCTGTGTGGCCTGTGACCTTCAGCTATCACATGTGGCCGTGGGAGGACCCAACCCCCGGGAGCACATCAGGGCCACTTTCACACGACCCACCAGGGCAGGGGGCCTGCAGGGATTTTTCCTGTCCCCGCCAGGTCAGCATTCCTAGTGCATCCCCTGAAATCGCCCACAGCCCACCCGTAAGTCCTCCCTGCCACTGTCACAAGTTTGGTCTTCCAGGTGCAGCGTGTGGCAGACGTCCCTGCAGTTACCCACACAATCGCTTCTTCCTCAGTAACAGGAATCTCAGTCTGGTTCCGTGAAAAACCTTTTTCCAGGCCATTTGCTGACAGGTGTGCCTGTGTAGTCTGGCTCTGCTCCAGGAGCTGTGACCCAGTGCCGTCTGCGGGCTCCCAGGAGACGAGGGGCAGCTGGCACCCATCTTTCCCTTCTCCTTTCCGCCTTCTTCCTGCCTAAAATGTGAATGTGAGGGCTGGAGCTCCTGTGGCCAGCAAATAACACCCGGCTGGGAAACCCCATGCTAGGAGGGTGAGACGGAGGCATGAGAAGGCCTCTGGGCAACCAGCCCACACCACCTACCCCTCATTTGCCTTGGGCACTGGGATGGGGCCTCCTGATTTCCACAGCTGAGTTGTTCGGTGCTAAAGAGCCGGCCGGGCTCGGTGGCTCAGCCTGTCATCCCAGCACTTTGGGAGGCCGAGGCGAGTGAATTGCCTGAGCCTGCAGGTTCGAGACCAGCCTGGGTAACTTGGTGAAACCTACAATAAAAAAGAAAAAATACCCAGGCGTGGCAGCGCACGCCTGTAGGAAGGCTAAGGTGGAAGAATTGCAGAGCCCAGTAGGTCAACGCTGGGGTGGCTGTGAGTGTGCCACTGCACTACAGAATGGGCAACGAAGTGAGACTCCAACTCAAAAATAAAATAAAAGAGCCAGGCTTCCAGTCAGCCAAGAGAGGCAGAGGGGAAGGCCTCAGCACAGCCGGCCGCCTTTCTATAAACCTCCACGGTGGCCTCCAGACACAGGCGGAAAGGGCAAGAATGTGGGGCCAGGGTGGACACCCGGGGGGGAGCAGGCCACACTGCAGCAGAACGTTAACCTCACGGCCACTCCAGGAGGTCCTGCCCCCCCACCCCATAGGAAGTGGCTCTGGCAGGCACACCAGCGATGGGCTCAGAGCAGGCGCCAGCTCAGGCCATCGCACTGCATGGCCTCCATGCTGGGTCTCTGTGCCCATGTACATATGAACTCCCTGTGACCAGCTGGGACTAGAAGGCGGCAAGAGAACAGATAGGGGCTGAAGGCACCCTGGTAGCAAGCCACGGACTCCACCGAGAGCCGGTCAGGAAGCCCAAATTTCCATGTTTGTTAAATGATACTCAAGAAAGAGGGAGAGTTAGGCATTATATATGTGTACGTTACACAAGCTTAACAAATATGTACATAACTGTGGGCTTTGTTGATAAATGTTTTATATATCTATGTGTATATGTAAGGAAGAAGCCTCGTAGGACGAGGAGAGTGTGGACGTTATGTTCTGAGTTCCTACGATGGACACACAGTAAGAAAAGTCAGTAAAGTTACACTTTAAAAGAGGAGCTCTGCATCAAATGCTCTAGCTGCCCTCTGCCTCCCCCGCTCCTGGCCTGCCCGGAGGGGCTGACTTTGCCTCAGTTTCCCCCGCAGGGTTCTCACTGGGGAGCCCAGAGACATTTGCACAAGTGAGATCCCACCAGAGTGACGCAGATGAGGGGACTGCAAAGGCCAAGAGGCTTGCAGAGGGAGGCTGTGGGGAGGCAGGGGCAGCCTCCTGACGCCCCCAGGGCCCCGAGAAAGGAGTGGGCGGCGGGGGCGAGGGGTGCTAGCCACAGCTGGAGGCGAAAGCAGCAACACCAAGGCGACCTCCGCGGAACCAGCTTCAGCCCTCTGAGCCAGAGGCTGGCAGAATTCCACAGTATCGAGGGACACGAGGGACACAGCGTGTCCACACTCGGCACTTTCGCTCACTGAGTCATCCACAGGCACAGCGGGCTCCTGTGTGGCCGCCGTGCACCCACGCACCCGAGATGTCTTGACAAGGGGCACCTGGAGACCTGAGAGTGTGGACTGAGGAACCGGGCTCTGTCTCACAAGTGTCCCCTCTGCCACCGCAGCACCCCTGGCCGGAGACCACCTGCTGCCTTGGGGCCTGAGCATCTTCTGTGGAAAGGAGGCCAGAGGCCAGCAGCAGAGGCCGATGCAGACTGGCCGGCAGCCTTGGAGGCCATCCACTCCAGCCACTCTGCCCAACCCTCTGCAGCCCAGGGCGAGCAGCCTCGATGAGCCTGTTTCCTCACCGTGAGACAAGCAGCGGATGGCACTGACCGCCCAGGACTGCGCTCAGGGTGACGTCAGTGTTCATCCTGGCGCCCGAGACGCACCTCATATCTCGTACCTGCGTTGAGTGAGAACAGCCGCCAGTGGCTCACGGGTGCGGGGCCTAACACGACTCCTGGCCAGGCCTGGATGACGACCCCCCCTTAGTGGATCCCAAGATAAGGCTAAAGAATCCATCCCAGAGCAGCAGGGGGAGGCACGACCGCCCCGCCCAGATTCAAAAGGTTAAAAGAAAGCGAGTGTCCGATGACTCCTCACCACGACCTGTGTCCCAAGATTAGGGAGGGCCTCCCTGCCCCCCCCCCCCCCCCCCCCCCCCCCCCCCC